ATAGGGACAAAATATAAAGCGCGTAAGCCCCGCGTCAATGTCTAACGCATAAGCATTGGTACGGAACCCATAGGAATGTTAACAAAATGTATACTTATTGTTAAAATCTCTATAAAATATCTGATATTTTGATGTGCATATGTCTAATGATCATTTTTGACCGCCAAATGGCTCATTTTTTTACTTTTTCCTCCATATCTCCGAAACCGCTAGACCTACCTTCATGAAAATTTTATCGATTCTTCATCTTGTCAATACAAGTGAAATGTTTTTTGAATTATTCAAATCGGACGCTCCGTTCTCTTAAAAACTGAGTTACCGTTTTCGGCACTTTTTGCCCCGTATCTTCGGAACGGCTAGACCTGCCTTCGCCAAAAACTAATCAGCACGTCTCCTTATCAATACGAATCGAATGTTTTTTGAATTATTCAAATCGGTTGATCCGTGTTCCCGAAATCGTCGACGAAAATTTGTATCCGCACATACATACACACACATACATACATACACACACACATACACACACACACACACACACACACACACACACACACATACATCCATTTTCTCTAAGGTATGCCAAAATGTTCAGAAACCTCTGAAACGTAAAGATATATAAAAATTTTCATTTTTGATTTTTTTGCGATTACTATAACTTGCGCTACGGGAAGTTAAATATTAGTCAATTCGCTGGGCATGCCACATAACAATATAATTTAGAAATGAATTATCGGGTTTTTACTTCGTAAATCAAAAATTAATGAATTAATCAAAAGCGCGGTAATTATACATCAAAATCTTGAAACTGTAAATGTTCTAACTGCTGCTATATATACTTGCTGGCCCGTGTGAGTCTGTATGAATGTATGTACATATATGTGTAAATTAATATACATATCTCTATCTATCTATAAGTATGAACATGTGTATTTGCAACCGTCGTCCATATATCTCTTCCTATTTGTTGTTATGTACACATAAAAACGTTCGCCTTTTATACTTGTACACATCTTCGCGGCGTAATATATTCATAAAGTTTGCTCTGGTATCCATAAAAGAGCACGATAACCGTGACTGGAGGAAAACGCGCGTGCATATAAACATTTATCTGCGATATGAATTACATGCACCAGCAAACAAAGCCGTTTGCTGTCCGTTTAGCGAGGGCCTCACGGCCACGAACAGATCGATCCTCTGCAATACGTCGAGCGGCGGCTACGGCAGAGTACCCAGAACGGAGTATGGAGTACGGACCTCTTACCTCTTACAATTAGACCGGGAGGTAAAGGAAGTCCACGCAATGTAAGGGACTTGATTTTGAAGACATTTTGAAAATTACACCTTGTTGTTTGAAGATCAACCATATAGACCAGTGTTTCCCAACGTGAAGCGCACGCCCCACCTGGGGGCAATTTGAAAATTCAGGGCGGCAATTTGAAAATTTTGTTGATTTAAATGTAATGCAGTATAATATTGGTAAAACATTTACATAAAAAATGCTTCTTAGAATTAACTAAGGTGTCCAGGTTTGGCCGGGACAGACCTAGTTTTCAGCCTTATTTCCCTGGTGCTAAAGTTATGATATTTCTCCCAGGTTGACCTAACTATTTATAAAGATTAACTTGATTTTGAATTATTATCATCACTTTATAATAAAATTACAACTACCTATTATAATCTGAAAACGATATATGCCATAAACTGCTTATATAAAACTAAACATTATGAAAGAGAATGTTGCGGAATGCAATCATCCTTAGGGTTATTTTAAACTTTACAAATTTACGAAAATTACCAAAAAATTAGGTAAATCAAGTTTCTGACTGCTTGGCACAAGTGCTTTAAGGCCAGTGACATGATATGACTTGAAATATGCACAAGAAAAGTGATATTTACTACTAAAGTTAATTGCAAAGATTAACGCGAACAGAGTTTTATATAAGGTTTTAAAAATTGAAAAATTAAAAAATCTTAAATATGACGTGAGTTTTTCACTCACTTTCGGTAACTATGGCTGAAGATGGAATTAATTTAAAACAAACTATTTTTTATTGTATTCTTAAATAGTACAAGGTTGGCACTAAGTGCGGCTTCTACTCTTAAATTGCTTCAAATGATTATTTAGGTTTGTTCAGCTTTTCAAACAAACATTTCAGTCATATTTTGCATTTTTATTTTTGCAAAGGTAAAAATGATCTTCCCATAGGTTAGGTGCAGTTTATGGTGTCGAAACCTTAAAAAAATAGCTATGTTTAAATTGGTTTGAAAAATGTCATTCTGGTGATTTTTACTCAAAGCTGTTCTGATTGTCCAGTTAAAGTTTTGGACAACCCAATTAAAGCAATAATCGATTCGACTAATAGAAACAATTTGGCTATGTTTGAAAATTATTGGGGCTTGGTTGAATTTTTTCCACATCCACCAAATTTAAAAAAAAATCATGATGGTGTCAAATTGTGCCTAATTCAGTTTTTAATAATAAAAACTAGAAGTTTTATAAACTTGGGACAATGATGCTTCTTGGAAGGTAACAAAAGGCCATCGATCAAAATGGTATACAGAACAAAGTTATTTAATTCTACACAAAAATTGTCTTCAATCTTCTAACAAAAATGCGCATTTACTTAGTTGCTAACTTGATAACTAGAAATTTCAGTTCCGGTTAAAAGAAAAAAGATTTAACAAAAAAGATATATAAAAATTAGATATAATTCCGTTCTGAGTTAAGAAATTGTTAAGTAGACGTTAGGAAATGGCTTTATGAAGAAACTGAAACCAAATGCCCAAAAGTAATCGTATGTAGAAACATTTGCTATAAGTTATTTATTAAAAGGAAATAGACTTGAAATAACATGACGTGGAGACTCGGGTTTGAACCTCAGTAAGTAAAAACCTAATATAAAATCTTTGTGCAGCATGCAAGTATCGCAGCATTAAATAAATTTCGAAAAAACGGTAAAAAATTGGTTTGAAATTTTCGTTTTTTTGCTTATTCTGAAATTTTTCTTTGATGCTTAATAGCATTTTAAATAAAAAAATAAAAAAAATGTAGGGGGGGCATAACATTGTTATAAACCTCAGTGTGGGGCGGGGCCTAAAAAAGGTTGGGAATCACTGATATAGACAGTTTTATTCATATTTCATTATATTGTCTAGCACCCAGAATGGTCTAGCATTTTATTTGATTTTATCATAATGTAAAATACAAATAGTAGAAAAAGCTGATAATAACAATTTTTAGGCTGATATTGGTTATTTGATGAATTTTCAGAATTATCACCTCATTATGAAGATGTAGGGACATACATGTACATGATGAACAGACAGATATGGTAACAGGTACAACTGTACAATTTAAACTACGTTTAATATTTGAATTGGTCAAACATAAATCCCTTTTCTTGCGGCAGTCCATTCCGCCGGAGTGACACCACTGAACAGGGCACCGCGCCGAAAAGTGTGGTAGCCTTTGCTGTTTGTTATTACGTCTTTCAACATTACGTGGAAATTTCTCATATCTACACTTTAAGTACGATCAGATAATACTGTTCCAGATGTTCATACATATACACATTTATTTATTTTGTACATATTTGAACATAGGCACCCGTAACGAAAGGGTTAAAATTGTATGGGAATGATTTTTCTGTAAAGGCTAGAAGAGCTGAAGTACTATATGCTTTAGATGCAAGATGTTGTAAATCAAACCAGGAGAAACTAGTTGGTATTGGTATTTTGCTTTGAGGCAAGTTCCATGAACTTCCCGATATGTGTAAATAATCGACTTAATCAATAAAAAATAAATTCATTCATGAGTGATTAAATATATTTCGAGTGCATTTATTACAAATAACATGAAAACGAATAAACTCGGAGTATTTTCAAAAATCAACAATTTTTATAATTGAACTAGTTTCCGTAGGACTTTAATGGTTTAGTATGTTCATTTAGTAAGACCAAGTAGTCTATCGTTATACCAAGTAAATCGTCTAATTTTAATTTTAACAAAAGTCAACAAAACTACTCAAACTTTGATAAATTTTTAAAATTAAACTACTTGTCGTACGGCCGTAATATTTCAGTAAGTTCTATAAGACCATGATATACATCGCCAAGGAAAGTTCCACACGCACACACACACACATACACACACACATACTTTTTCCAAAATTGGTCTCATTCGATTCAGAATGGCTTGAACGTCGAGAAAACAGAAAATTTGCGAATCGGATTTTTTGATGAAAACATTAACTTCTCCTTCGGGAAGTTAAATATAAATATTACTAATGTTGCAATTGTTAATTATAATAATAATAATAATTATTATTATTATTATTATTATTATTTGAAATAATTATATTTCGATTCATTTTTACGTTAAATACTTATGTATTGAAATGGTTGAGTATTATTATTTCAAATAATTATACTTCGATTTTTTTTCATGTAATACAATATAGTATAGCAATTTTATTTAATATATTTTTATATTGATACTTTAGACCATTTAGTCCATGAACATTTGATACATCTTTATTTATTAGTGTGGTCCAATTCATTTGGGGTTTTTGAGAAATACATGTTGCGACTGATGACCCTTCGAGATCGATTTTTGATGCTTCTTAACAGTAAGCGTCGAACAGTATGACCATCCATGGAGACTCTTGGATTTGGTTGCATATGTAATAAGTCGGCGAGAGGTATTAATCGATTATATTATTGATACTTTTTGAGTACTGTCAAAGGAAATTATCAGTATCAACAAATATATATCAATGTCAAAAGTTCTCACTATTGACAGCATAGTTCGGTTTTTGATTCGAGATCGGTTTTGATGCTTCTTCGAACAGTATGACCATCTATGGAGACTATTGGATTTGGTTGCATATGTAATAGGTCGGTGAGAGGTATTCATTGACAGCATAGTGTAGATACTCAGTACTGGATATTTCGCTCTAACACTAGTTGTCATATGACTGAACATGTGATGTTGAATTGATCTATTCTAAAAAGTGGTGGTTGAGGTACTTTATAATGGTGAAGCCTTTAAGGCGCACCATCCCGGTCACATCTTCAAATTCAGCGTCACAATCGATATAGGCAGGGTCTTCCGGATCTTGGAGTTTTCTCTCCTTGATTTGTATCCAGATTAATTTGATCACATTGTACCGTGTTTCGGGTTCGTCACTGCCTATTAGTTTGGCCAATGAAGGCGATAGACGATAGCGTTTATGAATTCCCGAATTTCTAGGAGCACGTTTCTGCAAAAATAATAATAATATAAATAATAATAATTATAATGATAATTATAAATAAATAAATATTCATTTATATTTATATATACATATATATATATATATATATATAATATATATATATATATATATATATATATATTATGGGTATTATGAGTTGTAATAAATTTTGACTTTTAAGAATGTTTATAGATGACAACTCAAACAATTATCCGATTTTTTGTAATGAAATTTTAATATTACTTATTACTTTTCAATGCTTTCAGATAAGGGCTATTTTTACTAAAAATATTTTGGTATCTATAATTTTAAGTTAAAACTTACAGAAGTGGTAACTGAAATCTATATTTTGTTTTCAATATTCATTGATTTCATTTTAAATTATAAAGTCTTTGTAAATGCCTACAATACTACATTCAGATATTCGTTTTTATAATGTTTTTTCAGTTGTATTGATACATATTTTTTATTAGTATATATTAATTTTATTTTTCAATTACTTTCTTGGCCTCGTGAATCAAGACTTCGGACAGGGTAGTCGAACTTCTCGACCGTGATTTTGCCTCCTTTCTTGTGCGTCTCGATACCATGGTGCCTGAACTGCTAAAATAATGTTAATAGAACTATAGTAGCTTATGGAAATATTATCTCCTCATATTCTATTATGTCTCATTATCATAACTTAAACTGAAAATTTGTAATAAAACGAAATTTCATTATTTTAAATGAATTTCAATAAATATTTCATTGAAAACATTCATGTCAATAAGAATAATATCCACTAGCATTCATGTAATAAAAAAAATCCACTAAATATTTTAACTGAATTAAGTCAAGTCGAATTACATGACAGTTCGATGTATCATTAAATTAAAATCAAAGGCTTTATCATTCAAATAAAAAAAGCTTTGTAGAAGATAAATGATATTTGTCATTGGCATAAAATTCAAAACTACAAAAAAAAATCGAAAATAAATTTGCAAATACATTATGTGAAAATACACTATTTTTATAATGAATTTCACTTACCTTCACTTTGTTCCTCAGAATTTATAACTGTGAATTTGGAAAAAAGAAATTTGAAAGATTTCTATACAAAAATTTTGATAGCACACATTTGTTTTTGTGGTTGCAGCATACTACTATAATTTAAAATTCAAACATGAAAAAAATCATCATCAAAGTCAGTAAAACAACTAAATTTAAATAATCCAGTGTGCCAAATCTTTTTGGGCAAATTGTCAAACAAGTTAAAAAAATGGATAAGTTCCTTCTTTCTAACTCCACTTGGTCCAGTTTTGTTTATTTACTTTTAATGTATACAATCGGGATAGGTAGGTCAATGATGTTTTTAAGGAAAAGGTTTATAACAATAGCTATTATTATTAAAACTGTTAAGTTCTCTTCGTTGTTCAAAATTTGATTATATATATATATATATATATATATATATATATATGTGTGTATATATATATATATATATATATATATAATAAAAAAGTTAGTTTTGATGTTGAGAAATATGAGTAAGTTCCTAGCAATACATCAAATAAAAGGCAAAGATTTAGAAGTTAATCTTAAATTTTTTCCAAACGTTTCGACATAGGATTTTGTCATCATCAGTTGATCTATAGAATGAACATTGAGAAATTAATATAAACTAGGAAAAAATGACAAATTGGAAAAAGAACTATAGGTACAAGTAATATAATTATAACAACAATAATAATTATAAATAAACACATAGACAAAACATAAGAAATGAAAAGTAAAAAAAAATATATACAAACATGCAAAAGCGTAATACATATACATAAATATACATATAAACAGTACATATATATACGATATACATGTACAAACACATACACATATACGATATACATATATATATATATATATATATATATACAATACGTATATATACATACATATATACACATATGCATATATACACTAACTTGTTTTTTTGTTTTTGTTGAACAAAGTTTAGCAAAATATTTGTGAAATATAATATATTTTTCACGGAAACAGTAGTTTATGCTTACGATTCCGAGGCGATAATGCCACATGTGCTTAAAAATTATTGAAGAGACCGTTTGAAGGATAGTTGGCGAGTTTTTTTTACAATCGAGTGTTTCGAAGTATGGGTGAAAGAGGCTAAGATTCAAAGTTCGAGATCGTACCGCGAAAGGGTAGGTTTACAGGTCCGAATTTAGCTAGTTAAAAGGAAACAAATTTGGAAATATTATTGAGTATCACCTGATAATTTTCACAAAGTAAGGAGGCATTACACCGTTTATTAATGTAAGATTTATTAATGCTGATTAAACAAGATTCAGCGAATCTTCTCTAAATAATGTTCCGTTCGTGATAAAGTATACTAGCGTTGTAAAAGTTAAAAGAATGTTTAAAATTTTTAATATGTTCTGTTATCATGGTTTGATTTTGTCGTGGATTTTTGAGTTATTATCATGTTGTTTTAGTCGTTTCATTGAATTCTGTCCAGTTTCACCTATGTAAATGGAATCACAATCATTGCATTTTGTCTATAAATGACAATGACAAATGTAGACAAATATTGTCTATAAATTAAAATGCAATGATTGTGAAGGGAAATCGGAAAGATTAAAATACTTTGGATGAATATGAATAGTTCAGATGAACAACATCCTTGCTTAAATTTTGAATTATTTTTGCTCAAAAAACATCTTTAATAACGTAATAATTGTTTAGCCATTTAATATTATTTTACCAGAGTTTATAGGAACCTAGTATTTTGTGCAATTTAATGGGACATTTTAGCTAAGCTTCATTTAACGTGTATAAATATGATTTTATATAATATGATTTATAAATAATGTTATATTCAACTTACACATGCGTTACGGGCTTCTTCTCTAACTCATCTATAGGAAAAGTTTGTTTGCAATAATGGTCCATATAACTGCCGTTAATTCACACAGCCCGAATACATTTCGCCAGGTACCGTAATTCTATCGTATTAACTCCTATTCAAGCTTCAAATCGTACATATATTTCCGTATATGTTTGCCATAAATTTGCACAAAACAAATATTCTATATGCACATTATTATTTGTGGTATCCAATTACACGTAGATGCATTCTCGTTTTATGTGACACATAACAAACTAGCCCCATATAGGGATAATAATTTAATGCCGTTGGAATTACTATGGCAAAACTTGATTTTTGTTTTCATGGTATGCTAATAAGTTTGAGTGTTACTGGTTATTTAAAACGGTTGTGAATGATAAGCCCATATTAGCCATAGAAATATATGAATGCTATTAAATAATTTAATATTTATTATACTTTTTATACTGGCTCCTTAGTATATTATATTCAATATACTGGGTACGGTCGTACATTTTTTTTTGATCAGTAATAATTTTATTATTTTACCAGTAACCTGGGAGAAAAGTAATGGTAGTTTTAACATTTGTTTATGTTGAAATACTAAAATTCTGTCATAAAATCCAGGATAGGAAACATGTTCTACTTTCTTTCCTGAATAAACAGTATTTTACATTTAATGCATTATTGAATTCGTTATCGACATAATTATGACGAAAATGTTAAATTTCACAAAATCTAATAGTCACTACATATAGTCTCGGTTCAGCAATATATTACAGTAAATAGAATAAAATTGTCCCAAATCTACTTTCAACCTAATCTTTACATTTTTATTAATAATATTAATTAATCCCAGAAAAAATTACAATACAATACAATTTTCAATTATATTAATTATTATAAATTCACAATGAAATTATATGTTTAGAAGTACAAATTAATTTTCAATCAGAAATGAATTTATAAACTTGAATTTAATTTGAAACTAAATTTAATAAAACAATTTTCTTGAATTGACAATTTTAAGAATTGCTAAAACAATAATATTGCACGATTTCCAACTGATATCTTTCGACCCTCTTTTCAATTTCCACGATTTTTAATTTTTAATTATTTTTTATAACAAGATCAAAATATAGAATTTTGTCACTGGAATAATTTATCATGATCTTAGGGTGCCTTAGCACACTACTAGAAACAAAATGTAATCCAACTAAAACTTCAACATGATGAATTTTTTATATACAAAATTTAAATTTTTTTCCGTATTTCTATCTTTCAAGTGTTTATTAATTTGAAGTTTTAGATTGATAATTACCTTGGTAAAGAATTATTAATAGTTCATCTATAGCAATGTGTATATTATGAAATAAACACAATTTTTTATACTTTTATACGCCCATGCGGGCACAAGTGGAAAGGTTCCATATAAAGGTGGATCCTGTGATTTGGATTCTGATATTTGTAGTAGGGTAGGGCGGGGCTAGTTGAGCAAATTTTTACTTAAACGGATGTAGCACCTCAATGAAAAGTCTCAATAAATTGCTATATGACTTAATGGATTTGTTGTTTATCGCTTAACAAAAGTGTTAATACTATTTTTTGGTAATAAGTAAACTTTAAAAGCTACAGCTGTTTAAATGCAAAAAGTCAAGTATTCTCAATGTACCCCATAGGTGAGGCAAGTTGACCACTAAGAAAGTATAATAAAATCATAGGTTCAATGTCGATTAGTAATGAAATAAAATAAGTTTTTAATAACCAGTTCTATATTTATAGTCTTTATTGACAGAGAAAACAAAACTTATAGTAATTTGCTTTTAATAATTAACGAAAAGTAGAATCAACAGAACAATATCGTAGCTTAGGAATTATTTTACCATTATATTCAGTATTTTTGTTTAAAATCATTATTTCTTTATATTACTACTCATAGACTTAGCTTAAATCTTAAAAATAATAATCAATTTCTGGAAGTTAATGGTAATTGTCTTAGTGACAGAACAAGTTTAGCAACTATGCTCAACTAACCCCAACTCGGAATTTCAAAATAAAAGTGAGTTTATAAAAAAACCGTGAGAATTATAGTCAGAATCTCTGTGCATATTAAAAGTACTATAATTATATGGAAGAATAAAATTTACCTGGTTAAAAATAAATAACATTTGACTAAACTAGACGAAAACTCGTGATGAATGACTTTTTAACTTTTTGGTCTCAAAATAAACAAAACGCCCGTGAGCCTCACTGATTTGTCCAGCGGCCACTAGCGATCGCGGGATGTTTATTTCTCCCAAACCTCTATCTTTCCGCCACATAATGCCTAAACGGACGGTGAATAGTTTTAGAGATATTTCGATTGCTCAACTTGCCCCTATGCTCAACTAGCCCCGCTCTACCCTAAGCCACCGTAAGTAAGAAATTTAAATCAAAGTAACTACTTTAAAAGTTCTCATTATACTTTGACATTTCTAGAATTTATTATGGGGCTTTATAAAGAATGATATTTTCATACTTATGTTTAATTCTGGGATATTATAATATTTCAAAAATTGATGTCATATTAATGAGTTTTTTATTTGCAATACAGAATTTAATTTGGGTATTTATATTCGTCAAATAATTGTTTATTAATCTAAAGATTAAAAATGATTACTTATTTTTAAACTAGTTTGCCTATACCAATGTGTTTGCTATGAAATAAACACGAAACTTCAATACT